AACAGCATTTTATTAAACAGAGTTTGAAAGCTGGCAAAAGTCTTTTCTTATGAATTATACCATCCAACAACGTTGCCACCTCCCAATAGTTTTCTCCAACGTGTACATCCACTGGCACATTTAGTGCTGGCAAACAACTTCATACAAAGAGAAGAATGGCTTTCCCTTGACTCTACTTCATGTATGTTTTAATAAGTGACTCCAGCTTTGCTTTTGTACATAAGACGGCCGGTGTATGCAGTCCATGGGTCTTTATTGAGGAGCGGCCATTTCCTTAGCCAGGACACCAAGTATAGACTCTTTAAATCAGAGAATAACCACACAGCAGTAGTAACATTTAGAACTATGCCATTGTAGCCTAATAAAGAACTAGCTAATAAGATGGTAAGTGCCAAAGGAATGAGCATACATTAATAAAATGACTTTGGGACCTTGCAGATAACGTTTTTGAGCCTATGTTGTGTCACAGCCAGCCGAGCTATTGAGATGCTAACAGCAGCCCACACATATCTAATGGGGATACATTTGGATGAGTTAAGTCCAAGCTTTTGCAAGTACTTGCAATGCACCAGCTGAACTGAGTAATGTATCAGCAGAAGTAGGTCTTACTGGACAAAGAACTGTATCTGATGTCCTACATAGTTAACCTGCACAATCCAACTGTTTCGATCCTTCCCTTTGGTGAATGTGGATTCACGCAGACTTGCCCATAACAATAATATTAAGAAATAACATGCCCAGATCTCTCTGAAAGGCAGCCTAGGACCCTGATCCTGAACACTCCTAAAATTGGTTCAGTAAGTGCTACAAGGAGCTTAACTATTGCACACTTCAATCTCAAGTAAAGCTGTCAGTATTTGATAAATGATACTGTATTGTCTAGCTGACAGCTCCCTGTTGCCTCCCTCAGCACTTTGACATTCTTCTCACGGCAAAGGCCAGAGCTGAGGTCTGAGATCTGCCTGTCTTGGGAACAGAATTGACGCTCTTTCTGACTCAAAACTAGCTGAGGAATAAACCTAGCTTCTCCCACACTCCCAGATCAAAGAGAACAACATGTTACACTAGAACAACCCATATCCTCCTGAACTTTTACCTTTGTGGAAAGTAACCTGTGTTAATTATAAAGACGCTAGATTATGTCCATCATGTGCTGTGAGCTAGCTATGTCCATAACGCTCCACCTACCCTGGATAACCTTAGCTTCCAGAGGGCTTCTGGTACAGGCATGGCTGTTCTTTAACCTCCGGTGCCAGTAATCTGAAACGAGACTGCTGGAAATGAGAGCGAGAGAGAAAGAGGGTGAGTTGGCTATTTGATTACAGGCCACAGGCACATGCCTGGCCTTCATGGATATATTAAGTAAGAGACATTTTAAAACAAAACCACCCTCAGTAACCTTATCGTAAGCCTGAATCAACTACCCATCTGTTAGCTCTCTGTACTGCCCACATATTCTCTAATCAGACACAAGTGCCAATGATTTTAGGAACTTTGCACCCCAAAATTCCCATTTTCGTAATTATGAGGGAAACTGCTCTGGAGGAGAAAGCTCCATGCACTCAGTTCCTTTAGCCAGCCCTTGCACACCTTGGAAAACAACATCCAAGCCCTTCCTTGCTAATGTATCTGTAAATAACTACAAATCCCCATTGGACACGAGCTGTTGCTATCCTATGATACTCAAATGCTCTAAAACTACCATTCAAAAGGCCAGATTCTCCCTGAGTGGCTCTGGAAAATAATGCCAGTTCTTTTACCATTTTGCTTTAGTCCCTATGAGGTGTCATAAAAGAACCTGCCATGGAGAGGGAGCTCTGCAAACAAAACCGTGGCAGCAAATTGATAACCTCATCAGCCTTAGTTTATGGAAGCAGAAGCAGTAGCTCGACAGGAGAGTGTAATTCAATTCTCCCTCAATCGAACTTGATGCCCAAGAATGTAATAACTTCATGAGGGGCCCTCTTTTTAGGGGGATCTTTGCCAACCACCCTTAAGGTCATCAGTAAATCCTGATACAGAGTATTGTTTAGCAAGCGTACGCCCGGTAAAAGCAGGAATGCACTAAATATCTCTCAGAGCAGGCAAAAGTCAAACAGCCCACGTGCATGCATTGGCCCGCATCTATTTTGACTTTAAACATAAAACTCAGAACGAGGAAAAAATAGCAAACCCTGACCCTAAAAGTTGGACCTTGCCATAAGAAGCCTGCTGCTATGAACCTTAATTATTCCTATGCTTTGATAAAGAAACATTTTAGATGGTGAAACAAGACTAGTAGGTTAAAATCATTTCTAATTTCCTCCTCAGTGTCACAACAAGCAGCTTAGATCTTTAAAACAAAGAGTTTTACTTCTCATTATTTATGCAGTTTGCTTTACATATTTATCGCAGTTGTAGTAATTAACAGCCAATGAGTCAACCTCACTTTTGTGACAGTTATTACCGAGTGTATTTAAGTGCCACCCTGGGAAACATTAATAAAGACAATCTCTGCTCTGAAGAGCTTACAATTGAAGGTCCTGGCCCTACATGCTTAATTCTCAGCACATGAGTAACTCCTTTCAAGTCAACGCAACTACCTTGGCACTTAAACATATAAGTGTTTGCCACATCATGTCTTAAGGGCCAAGACCTGAAGATGTTTGAAATGAGTGGCTGGCCATGGCAATGAATGCTAGGCTGGGTCATACAGTTTCAAGCTGGAGCTATGAAACACAGATGAGACCAGATCCCCACAGCGTACTTTCGTTTTGATGCTCTCAGTCACTACCACCATGGGCGCATTGTTTAAGCAGTGGATACCACAGGGGTCTTGCAACTACGGTTTCTAGAAAACTGACCTCTGGGGCCTAGCAAGAGTAGAGTCAACTGAATCACCCTCTGAGGTCACAGGTCAACAGTACTAAACTTTCTTAAGGCTTCTCATGCAACCACACACTCATCCAATGATGGTGTACTTTGAAACGAACATGCCACCTATACTAGCATAAAACATTATCTCTGTTCACCAGCAAAGCACTTGTTGACCTCATGCTCCTGACGGTCCCAGGAGCCACAGGATGAGATAGGGAAACCTTTGACAAACTTTCCGTACCAAGTTTTGTTATCACCTTATCTGGATAAATATACCTTGTGTCTTGTGAGCTTGCCTCTACTTGTGCCACGTGCAGCAAGGAAAATGATCCCAGCCCTCCAAATCAATAGGTTGCTTTGGCAGCTACACCACCATAAGCACTGTTAGCATTTGCATAATAGCTGGCATCTGAGAATCAAAGAGATCAAAGAGTTAAACCTTCCCAAACCCCACTAAGATAGGTAAGTCCTGCTACTTACTTGCAATGCTTTCATGGCTGGCCCTGCTCTTGCCTATTTTGTTCCTGGACTTGTGGAGTTTGGATGCTTTTCAGGGGTCTTCCTGGCTCTCCACTTAAGACCTTGTGTATACTTAAAGGTTTTGCCAAATTTGCTGTGCCTGTGTGTTTAAAGCAGTACCATTTCTGCTCCCTCTTCCCCCCCCTCCATCCCCCCCCCACAACATAGTAGTGAAGCCACAGTTTTCTTGTATACAGATGCTTCTTGCAGTTCAGTGAAGGGAAATAAACCATGCTGGAATATGGTCTCCATATTCAGGATATTTACCCGTATGCCCATACCATATAATGGTATGGGCATACAGGTAAATATCACAGGCTTCACCAGCATAGAAAGGCTGTATTTGTAGTGTAGATGAGTCCTGAGCTACAGCAACCTCAATTCTGTGGCCTCGCTTCCACTTTGCTTCCCATGGCTCTGCCTGTAGAGTAATGGACTTTAGCCATACCCCCGTCCACTGCTACAATGGGCTCTGAGTGGAAGACAGATGTCCTCAAAGGCATCCATACCCAATTTAAGGCCCATATGTGTACCCAAACAGCATAAAAGGACCCTAACTAAGCAGAGAATTGTGACATGAAAGCTTAAGTGATTTACAAAAAGTCCCATGGCAACTCCCTGGCAGCAGTGGGACCAAAATCTAGAAGTCCTAACCCCCTGTCAGAACCCAGGATACGAGCTCCTACCACCAAAAGGGCCTACCATAAATTGATACACATTTGGTCCTGCTTCCACCTTCAGTAAACGAGTCAGAGAAATGGATGCCAGGGCAACCCAGCTTCCTTTGTGAGCACTATGCATGGCCTTCCTTTTTTGCATGAGGATTTCTGGGGCCCTCAGTGTCCTGCTCACGTTGCCAGTGAAGCTGTACTCAATCAGCCTTTGACCTCGCAGTGGTATCAGTGAAACCAACCCCTCGCCCTGATTTCTGTCCCTTTTGGCTCAGCTGCACTCCCCTCATCTCGCACGTCTTGCATGTTGCCTTGCTCGAACCACCAAATGCTTCTCTGCTCTCAGTGCCATTCCCACGCCTTGACATTTGGGCTGGGATATTCCCGGGCCAGCCGCACAACGGCATGTGGAAATCACTAAGGATGGCGCAATGTGTTGGATCTGGAGCTGCGTTTTATCAAGCTGTTAGCCACTGGATTACTACAAAGTATAGACATTTTTTATAATAGCTAAATACATTGAAAACAGATTTAGCATGTTCTGCGTCTGTTCCCTCTGGAGAGCTGCCACGATTATGTAATAGCTCAGCTGGGGTGGCAAGTCTCTTTCAGTGGGTGGTAAAGCATTTGCCTAGGGTGACTTTGGGGCCCTCTCTCACTTATTTCCCTGCCGCTTGTGGCAATTTTTCAATTGAAAGTGCTCAGAAGAGTCATTTTTTGGCACTGCGTTTTATGAATGCCTTTCCCCCGCCCTGCCTTACTCCATTAAACACGGATAATAAGCTCAACACATTGCAGTCAGGTGCAGCCAGCGTGCTCTGCCTCTGCTGTGCTCCACAGACTTGGAGCCCTGCCCGCTCTGCTCAGAATAATACCCGGTGCTTAGCCGCTTCAAAGTGCTCTTACAGACGTCAACTAATTAATCTGAACAACACCCCTCCGAGGGAGGTGAGTTAGTATTACCGGCTCTGCCAAGCAGATGGGAGAGCTGGGGCACAGCCCCGAAGGGACCTGGCCAAGGTCAAAGGCGCCCGTGTCAGAGGAGGGAGGGCCGGGTTTGCTGGGCTCGGCTCAGACCACTAAGCCGGCCACACCTCTGCCTTATGTAAGATCCCAGCGCTTTCCCACGGGAGTGTCCCGTGCCCTCTGCACGACAGCCCTGGCGCTGGATGCCCTGCTCCAGCCTCGTGGGGCAGCCCTGCAGCCTACCCTGGTTCTCCCCATCCAGCCAAAAACACCTGGGTGGGGGGGGGGGCGGCGCTGGCTCTGGCTGTGCCCACAGCCTGGCTCTCCTTTCATGGGCCAGGACCCAGGCTGGGGTGGAGGGGAACTCGTCCGCAGATGGCAGAGCCCTGGGCACTGAAGGGGCAGCTGGGGACACTGGAGAGGCACTGAGGGGGAAGCTGGGCGCGCTGAGGGGACACAGAGGGGGCACTGGGGATGCACTGAGGGCACTGGGGGTGCACTGGGTGAGTGCATGGAAGAGGCACTTAGGGCACATGGGGGGCAATGAAGGGGCACTGGGGGACACTGAGGAGGCATGGAGGGTGCACTGGGGAGTCACTGAGAAGCACTTAGGGCACTGGGGGGCACTTAGGGCACTGGGGGGCACTAAGGATGCACTGGAAGCACACTGAGGGTGCACTGGGGGCTCACTGAGATGGCACTGGGCACTAAGGGTGCACTGGAGGCACACTGAGGGTGCCCTGGGAACACTAAGTGTGGGGGGTTGCACCAGGGGCTCTAAGAGTGCACTGGAGTTGCACTGGGGGCTCACTGAAGTGGCAGTGGGGGGCACTAGGGGTGCACTGGAAGCACACTGGGGGTGCCCTGGGGACACTGAGGAGGCAGTGGGGCACTGAGGTGGCACTGGGGCACTAAGCATGCACTGGAGTTGCACTGGGGGCTCACTGAGGTGGCACTGGGCGCACTAAGGGTGCACTGGAAGCACGCGGCGGGTGCACTAGGGGCACTAAGTGTGGGGGGGGCACGTAGGGGCGCACGGGCGGCAGCCGCGTGGGCACACCGAGGCTGCAGCAGGCGGGCGGGGCGGTGCCGGCCGCAGGGCGCTCCCCCGCATGTTCCG